ATATTAAATTCATATTTGTGACAAATATTAAGTGTGTGAGTGTGTTTGTGTGTGTGCAAAAAAAGATGTAATGTAATATTCTAATAATATTAATATAACTATTAAATACTTTATTTTAAAGTTCAATTTGGAATAACATTTTTTTTTTTTTTCATATTTTATATTAGACCAAATATATTAGTTTTTTTCTGACAATACTCTATATGTTCTGTATATGATAGCATGTTTTTTTTACTAATTAGTACTGAAAATATATACTAAAAATAAATATTTCTATGAATGTAATACTCTGTTATGAATAGAAACTATTAAAAATTGTGTTATACAGTAAAATTTGCAATGCAGTATTTTAGTATTTTACATTAGACCATATATAGTCATTTTTTCCCTGAGAGTACCTTATATGTTGTGTATATGATATCATGCTTGTCCAGTATTTAATATTGAAAATATATATATTACATACTCAGATTGCTCTGAAATGCTCTTGCTTCATCTCGTCACACACGACTGCTTTGTTCCAAACTGTTTAGCCGTGGATGATTTGCGCAGCTGTATGGATGAGCTGTACCGCTGTATGCGCCTCTGATCGTCTATATCTGCTCATCATACACCCTTCACTAACTCACTCTATATGTTCTGTATATGATAGCATGTTTTTTTTACTAATTAGTACTGAAAATATATACTAAAAATAAATATTTCTATGAATGTAATACTCTGTTATGAATAGAAACTATTAAAAATTGTGTTATACAGTAAAATTTGCAATGCAGTATTTTAGTATTTTACATTAGACCATATATAGTCATTTTTTCCCTGAGAGTACCTTATATGTTGTGTATATGATATCATGCTTGTCCAGTATTTAATATTGAAAATATATATATTACATACTCAGATTGCTCTGAAATGCTCTTGCTTCATCTCGTCACACACGACTGCTTTGTTCCAAACTGTTTAGCCGTGGATGATTTGCGCAGCTGTATGGATGAGCTGTATGGCTCTGATCGTCTATATCTGCTCATCATACACCCTTCACTAACTCTTTTCTAACTCTGCGTTCTGTTCTTCACAAATGAACGCTTTACACACATGAACTGTGGCTAAAATAAACAGCCCACTTCTGCAGTATCTTTAATCTATCGACTCTCAGTCTCTCTCCTCCCCCCGAGGTTTCTTTAGGATACTAAGTAACTTTTGATCCAAGGTTAGTGTGTTCTTGGTTTGAAGGCTAAAAATAACAGGTCGCTTTGTTTCCATGGTGTTTTCAGTGGGAAGGAAAGTCGAAAATCTTGTAATCTATGCAGAAAAGACACTTTTGTGTGGATTTCGCTTTAGTCATGAGGGTTTGGATCTTATTTTCGCTTCCCTGTAGAGCTCAGATTGTAAATGACATTTGAACTTGCTCTTTGCTCACATTTCTAATTATTACTCAATAAAACAGTTGTATGGTACTGTATGTACTTGATTTGAGTATTTGTCTTGTCTTCTGTCGGTAACGGAGTGGTGTTATGGGGAATGCTGATGAAGGAAGACGGTGTTGATTTTGTCTGTTTATTTCATGCGATCAGAGCCCAGGTTTAACATTGATTTACAGAAACTGAGAGAAACAGCCGACTGATTGCAGCGCTTGTATTGATGTTCCTCCTGTTTTGTCTTCAACTCATACAGCCTGTATTCAAGCTTTTTGTAAATCATTTTAGCCTTAGCTGTGTTTTTTTAAAGAAATTGTATGATTAGAGTTTGAAAAGCTCCCACTTAGGGTTTTTTTTTATGTTAAGCATTTAAAATTTGATATTGGCATATTGAATTGCAGTTGTTCTTCTTTTCATGTATTTTACTAGCTTATTTTATGTTTTAGCTAACAGCCAAAATGATATTTTTGGCAATCAATTATTTATTTAATATTCATTATTATTTAGTATTGAGTCAGTATTGTTATTTATTACATATTTTAGAGTTTATTTGTTAATTTAAATTTATTTTAGGGTGTAAACAATGGGACACAAATTCTAAATTGTTCATCAAATGAAAACTGCATAATATTTGCATATTTAATTGCAATTAATGTATTGAACCATTTACACACTATACACTAAAAAAGAGGCACAGAAGTCCACGTTTAAGGTGGCTTTTGTGATGACATTTAATAATAATATATACATTATATTTATATATATTTGCATATTTCTATATTTTCATAATATGTAACTTTATATATACATATATATATACAAAGCATATTTTATATATATATATGTTAGTGCTGTCAAACGATTAATCACAATTAATCGCATACAAAATACAAGTTTTTGTTTGCATAATATGTGTGTGTTCTGTGTATATTTATTATGTGTATATATAAATACACACACATACAGTATATATTTTGAAAATATTTACATGTATTTACATGTCTATTTATATTCATATAATTTATATTATACATAAATATATTTAATATATAAACATAACCTACAGTATTATTCTGAAATGTATACATGCATGTGTGTGTATTTATCTATACATAATAAATATACACAGCACACATACGTATATCATGTAAACAAAAACTTTTATTTTGGATGCGATTAATCGCGATTAATCGTTTGATATGGATAGATAGATAGATAGATAGATAGATAGATAGATAGATTCTCCTAAGTATCTTAAATAGAAAGCCATAAAAAAAAGTACTGCTGGAAGACTGAGAAGTAACCTCATAATCTACTGATCGTCTTGAACATTCAGCGAGTCACAGAGGAAGGAAAGAGTGAGAAAAGGGAAGGAATAGAGGACGAGGAATAAGAGAATGAAAGAGAGAGAGAGAGAGAGAGGTAATTCTTCAGCTCTCAGGAGGTTTTTTAAGAAATGTTTTAAGTGCAAATAGCATGAGCTCTGCTCCGGGTTTCACCAGAATCCTGTTCCTTTTCCAAATATTTGCTTTGGACGCGAGCCGCGATCTGCACAGAACACATGTCGCTAATGCCGTCGACTGACCGGCACAGCTTCACCAAACTCAGCGGCGGCAGGAAATCAGGGGTTTGTTTATGCTGCGGAAGCAAGGTGTTTGGGGTTTGAAGCGCGAGGCTCTCGCACATGCAAAGATACTAAAGCAAGCTCTGTGCAAACAGACGACTGTTACCATAAATGCTTTCAAAACGCTTAGAGCCCACAGATACGTTAGTAGCAAATGTGGATGCTTTTGATGCTCAGTTTCACTCAGTGTGTTCTGAAATGTGTTTTTTTTTTTTGCTCCTCCCAAATATTCAGTGTTTACGATTTACTGATAAAATTTCATGTTATGACAATGCATTTTTTTTTCATGCTTGCATGGAATATATTTCTGGCCTTTGTAATTTTTATGTTTAGTAGCCACGCCCACAATAACATCTGATTGGTTCAAAATCCTGCATGTTTACATTAACTTTGTCATTTCGTACGGTATTTTCACTTTCAGCAAAGACAGAATTTGATGCTGATAACTTCATATCGCAATTGGTAAATGGTGGGAATGTGAGTCTGTCTTTGTGTGTGCGTGCGTGCGTGCATGTGTGTGTGTGTGTGTGTGTGTGTGTGTGTGTGTGTGTGTGTGAGAGAGAGAAAGAGAGAGAGAGAGAGTGAGCACGAGCACTGTGAAATGGTTATATTCCCCCCTCGGCTTGTCTGAAAATGGCCTAGATTGGAAACTCTATCCCAAGGCCTCAGTGCATTGGACAAATAGACAGAAAATTAGTTTCGCATGAGGGTTTATTAAGCGTGAGCTTGTGTATACAGCAGGCTGACTCTGATGAGACGTATCTGAGAGAGAGATCAGGTTGCAGTCTCATCCTCAGAGAGGCAGATGACACACAGAAACGTCTCGAATGAGGAAAAACACACACGTTTGTCAGTTTGATGGCTTGTGCCCTCATAGGACAGAGTTTTAGTGGTAAGTAGGTTAAACTCGACTCAACACCTGCTGTCAGTGATTCTAAAGTCTCTCATCACACGTTAGACAGAGTGTGTGCGTCTCGTCGGCTTGAAATCAGCAGCCATTTGTGTTACATCCAGTATGTTTCAACCTGGATCATGTCACATGCCTGCAGCATCTTCTCAATGTCCAAGTTTCTCTTGTCCAAAAGTTGAGGTTTCTTTTCATCTTTTCAGCCCCAAATATTTAGCCTATTTTCTCTTTCAGCTGACAGCAAAAAATGGCAAAATATGTTTTTCAATCAGTTTAGTAATTTTGTTTTGTTTATTTTATCTATGTTAATAAATATAAATAGAAAACAAACATATATATATATGTTTGTTTTCTATTTATATTTATTAATTAAGCATTATTATTATTGAATTTATTTATTGGAATAAGGCAGAAGAAATTTTTGAGAAACATTTTTTTAAATAATATTATTATTTGTAATATTGAAATAATGTTATATTGTATTGTATTATATTTATTTATTATTTGTTTATTATCTTCAAAAATGCCTTTCAGAGCAATACTGTACATTCAGTTTATATTTGTGTAAACTATCCTTTACAAAAAAAAAAATACGATGGTAACTACAGTATAGTTTCCCAGAACACTATATACAGATACTGTTACCACAATAAGACTTCTATAGCCTAGTATTATCCACCACTGTCATCGAAAAATAAAACAAAATGACAGGAGGATTCAGCAGAGTCTGACATTATTTAAAGAAAATCCAGGATTCATTTATTATGATTTTACAGTAGTAACTAAATATAATATTTTGGTGATATCATAGTAACCACGGTACAGTTTTAAAATAGGCTTAAAATCTGCATCAATCAAAGACAGACTAATCTCTGACTATAATCAAATCATTCATACGTCATGTTGATTTAGGATCAGTCTGAGTTCAGGAAAGGGCCCTGATGTCATTTAACAGCATACTGCAGGTTGAAATGTATTGGCTTTTAATCAGCCGTTGAATGATCAGTTTGTGTAACGATCCATAAATCCCAAAAGACGATGAGTCTATCAACACAAGCGGCTTTGTTTTTCTATCACGGTGAGACTTTGCATTGACTTCTATTTTTTGTATACTGAACTAATGATATGTTCTGTCCCCTAACCCTCATGCTATGCTCCCTGCATATTAAGACATTACTTAATATGTTTATTAATCTGTTTAATTGCAAAGCAGAGGTGCCAACAACATCAACACCAACTGAACTGATGCAAGTTCACACAAGCAGGTCCACAGTAATTGTAAGCCAGAACATATACAGACAAAACTCACACAGACTGGCAGAATGAGAAACTGCATGAAATCACCAGGATGTACTGATTAATGATCTAATGTGTCTGTTTCTGAGGCGAGTCACATATCAACATCACTAATAGACATCAGAGCTGCGAGAATGTGAGCAAAAACATAAGAAATGTAGCTGTGGACTGTTTAGACTGAGGAAGAAAACAAACTGCAGGAGCGGGATGTTCAGATTCATGAGGTTATGCCCTGTAATTCGCTTTTTATTAAGGTTTTGTGCACAAAAGTGACATTTTTTCACTCTACCTTCTATATGCAAATGAAATGTCTTATGATTGGCTGCTCCCTTTGCATGCGAAATGAGTAACAACACAAATAAATTTGTAGTTGTGATGATTTCTGAACAAGCCATTTTTGCAGTTTCGTTTCAATAAATGTAAAGTCAGAATTGCGAGATGTAAGATGTAAAGTCTAAATTATAATATAAAGTCAGAATTGTGAGACGTAAAAGTCAGAATTGTGAGGCGTGAAGTCAGAATTGTGAGACGTAAAGTCAGAATTGCAAGACATTAAGCCTAAATTGCGATATATAAAGTCAGAATTGTTAGATGTAAAGTCAGAATTGTTGCGAGATGTAAAGCCACAATTGCGAAACATCTGAATTGTTGTAAAATCAAAATTGTGAGATGTAAAGTCAGAATTGTGAGATGTAAAGTCAGAATTGTGAGACGTAAAGTCAGAATTGCGAGACATTAAGTCTAAATTGCGATATATAAAGTCAGAATTGTGAAATGCAAAGTCTAAATTGCGAGATATAAAGTCAGAATTGTTAGATGTAAAGTCAGAATTGCGAGACGTAAAGATAGAATTGTGAGATGTAAAGTCAGAATTACGAGACGTAAAGTCAGAATTGCGGGACAAAAAGTGAGAATTGCGAGATGTAAAGTCTAAATTATAATATAAAGTCAGAATTGCGAGATGTGGAGTCAGAATTGCGAGATGTAAGATGTAAAGTCTAAATTATAATATAAAGTCAGAATTGTGAGATGTAAAGTCAGAATTGTTAGATGTAAAGTCAGAATTGCGAGATGTAAGATGTAAAGTCTAAATTATAATATAAAGTCAGAATTGTGAGACATAAAAGTCAGAATTGTGAGGCGTGAAGTCAGAATTGTGAGATGTAAAGTCAGAATTGCAAGACATTAAGTCTAAATTGTGATATATGAAGTCAGAATTGTGAAATGCAAAGTCTAAATTGCGAGATATAAAGTCAGAATCGTTAGATGTAAAGTCAGAATTGTGAGATGTAAAATCAAAATTGTTAGATATAAAGTCAGAATTGCTAGATGTAAAGTTAGAATTGTGAGATGTAAAGTCAGAATTGTGAGATGTAAAGTCAGAATTGTGAGATGTAAAGTCAGAATTGTGAGATGTAAGATGTAAAGTCTAAATTATAATATAGTCAGAATTGTGAGATGTAAAGTTGGAATTGCCAGATGTAAGATGTAAAGTCTAAATTATAATATAAAGTCAGAATTGCCAGATGTAAGATGTAAAGTGTAAATTATAATATAGTCAGAATTGTGAGATGTAAAGTCAGAATTGCCAGATGTAAGATGTAAAGTCTAAATTATAATATAAAGTCAGAATTGTGAGATGTAAAGTCAGAATTGCCAGATGTAAGATGTAAAGTCTAAATTATAATATAAAGTCAGAATTGTGAGATGTAAAGTCAGAATTGCCAGATGTAAGATGTAAAGTCTAAATTATAATATAAAGTCAGAATTGTGAGGCGTAAAGTCAGAATTGTGAGACTTGAAGTCAGAATTGTGAGATGTAAAGTCAGAATTGCAAGACATTAAGTCTAACTTGCGATATATAAAGTCAGAATTGTGAAATGCAAAGTCTAAATTGTGAGATATAAGGTCAGCATTTCGAGATGTAAAGTTAGAATTGTGATATGTAAAGTAAGAATTGCGTGACAAAAAGTGAGAATTGCAAGATGTAAAGTCTATATTATAAAGTCAGAATTGCGAGATGTATGATGTAAAGTCTAAATTATAATATAGTCAGAATTGTGAGATGTAAAGTCAGAACTATGAGATGTAAAGTCAGAATTACGAGACGTAAAGTCAGAATTGTGAGATGTAAAGTCATAATTAATATAAAGTCAGAATTGTGAGACGTAAAGTCAGAATTACGAGACGTAAAGTCAGAATTGTGAGATGTAAGATGTAAAGTCTAAATTATAATATAAAGTCAGAATTGTGAGACGTAAAGTCAGAATTACGAGACAAAAAGTGAGAATTGCAAGACGTAAAGTCTAAATTATAATATAGTCAGAATTGTTAGATGTAAAGTCAGAATTGTGAGATGTAAAGTCAGAATTGTGAGATGTAAAGTCAGAATTACGAGTTGTAAAGTTAGAATTGCGAGATGTAAGATGTAAAGTCTAAATTATAATATAAAGTCAGAATTGTGAGATGTGAAGTCAGAATTGTGAGATGTAAAGTCAAAATTGCAAGACGTTAAGTCTAAATTGCGATATATAAAATCAGAATTGCGAGATGAATTTGTGAGATTAAAAGTTGCAATTACTGTACCTTTTTTTTATCCCATGGCAGAAACAAGCTTCCATACTTTAAAGGTCCCATGGCATGAAAATTTCACTTTATGAGAAATTCTGCACCAAGGCTGAATTTCGGGGAAGAGACTTCAGATACAGTACTAGGGACCACTTAGGCCTATATAAAAGCATCCAAAAAGCAGCATGTCATGGGACCTTTAAAGACTTCTTTCAGAACCAAATCTTACAACCCTAAACCTTGAATGGTAGCGGTATTGTACAGTATAGATATGTACATATTAATAGGCATACTTGTAATCCCACAATTTTAATAATATGGCTATGTTTTTACTTATCTGTTTATCTGTGTCTCCGTCAGATGTTGACGAGTGCGCGGAAGGAAACGGCGGATGCCAGCAGGTCTGTGTTAACATGATGGGGAGTTACGAGTGTCGGTGCCGCGACGGATTTCTCCTGTCTGACAACCAGCACACCTGCATCCAGAGACCCAAAGGTGAGAGCCTGATCACAACACACCACTAACATGCTGCTCTTACTGTCTCTGCAGGATATATAGTATGAAAACTGGGCATGCTGGGCACAGTATGTGGATTTTGAACGGCATAATAGATTTGTTTACGGTGCAGTATAATTCAGAGTACACTGCTGGATATCTCATAATGCAATGCGCTCAATTTGATGAATGATCTGGAAAGTGTTTAAAGGGGTCCTATTATGCTCTTTTACAAAGTCTTGATTTTGTTTTGGGGGTGTAGTAGAACAGGCTCTCATACTAGGTTGTTCAAAAAACACATTATTTTTCACATATTTTACATTATTACAACACCTCTCTC